ACAGCCCCCCGCCTCCGCCCGAACCTCCCAATTTAACAAACTTGATTAGTGCATTAACAAAACACACAAAAACCGCGGATTCGCCTCGACGGATTTCAGATTGTAAAACATGAAAAAGGATGAGAAATGTGGAGCTTGTGCTTGATGGGGAAAGACAGGAGAGTTTTGCTCGGTCTGGAATAGGGAAAATGAGTCAAGCCTGAAACGTAGCCCAAAACGAGCTCTTTTAACTAACTGAAGTGGTACGGGGCCATGTGACTGTTAATTGCATTCGCGCAGAGTGTGTACCGCGGTACTTCAACCCAACGCCCGATGACATCTTTTGAGAAGCTGGCTGGGAGCCACGCTTGGCAGAATTCCACTGGCCCACCTCAAAACGTCCAAACTTGAACCATTATTAAGTCGGTCACACCAAGGGCACTTTGATAAGTCGCTGCGAGGACTCCTGTCAAATATGAATAATACACTTGTCGGAAATTTTTTTTTAGCCCCATTGTGTTGTAGGGAACAAAAAATATGGACTTTTGCAGCTTCTGAAGGCTTCAGAAGGCTCGACGCACAATGATCCAGAAAACTGAAAACAGTTGGTCGGCAACCCAAACCATATTGGACCAGAAAAACAAAAAACAAGTATGTCTGGAGCCGCAAAAATTTAAAAGCCTTATAATGAAGGCAACACATGCTGTATGTATCGATATGAGCGATATTAGCCTTCTATCAAAATGACTGAATTGCCCTTTTTCAATCAACCAACCTCCCGCGATCGACCCGTTACCGAACATCGTTAAGAATGTTTGTATCATGTTGTCCTCCTACAAAAAAAATATTAAAACTAAAAATTCCCTCCCCCATCTTTATCAATTTCAAGAATTTTTGAAAAAGCTCCAGAGGAACCACTAGGGTGGCGCTAAAGAGCCGCATGCGGCTCCAGAGCTGCAGGTTGCCGACCCTCGGGTTAGGGTTAGAGTCAAGAAACTGATTGAAGCCGAAATTTGAGCGATGTCAGGTTAGTTCCGTCACCTACGGAAAGCCTTCAGACATTGTAAAGGAGCGGGGGTCCCTGTATGCTGATGCACTCGCCTGTCGACTCCCTCCCGGACACTCCCCCCAGCTCACTCTTAATAAAGTCGCTTGAATGTTTTTCGTCTGTCATTCCTGATCGAGTAGCGTGTGATGAAGGGTGGATCAAGGGAGCGCAGAAGACTGCACCGGTGTGAAAATACAGAATTAAAAGCCATGTCCGACGACTGCCCGCTACCGAATCAATCCAATCAGCATTTGAATTGGTCCAGGATGAAGGGTGAGCGCTTGCCCAGCAATCGACGCATCTCTTCCATCACGACCGGTATGACATTTGGTTTGGATCAAACCATCAAAAAGAAAAACCCAGAAGTCAACCTTTTGGGTTCTTTTAGGCTCATTCGAGCATTTTCAGGAGTCGCCTGACAGATTTTGGTCAGAGTTACCTTGCGTGTAGCGTAGCAGCATGACATTTGGTCGGCATTTCTATCCTGGCTCACTGCTCACCATGCATACCACCACCCTCACTCCCCGTTTCAGCCATTTTATTCACCTTGTTCGCCGGGTCCTCTCTACTTTTGATCAAAAGTCGTTTCAGTTTGCTGCCGCAAACGACTGGAACACCGTGAAAAACAAGACTGTGGATACAAGCACTTGATGGAAAGCCTGCGGAACTTCTCCACTCAGAGTAGCAGATACACTTCAAAGAAATGTCCCAACTTGAGGAAAAACAAAGTTCCATTTCCTACTGCGAGTGAAAGAGCTTCCGGAGAAATCTTCCGTCATCCCAATGTCTTATGAGGAGGGAGCTAAGTCGGATGGCCGCCGCTCACCTAAGGCCATTAAGCTGCAAAAAAATGAATAAATAAAATAAATAAATAAATAAATAAATAAATAAATAAAGAAGAGTAAATTTGAATAATTGCCAGCCGGGACCAAAACAGCTGTGCCGACAACAATGAGACAAATTACTAGAAAATAAACCCCAGGAAGTAGAGGAGACTCTCCTCACGGGCTTGCTGTGCTTATGTAACAAAACGGCTTCTATTTTTGGTGTGTGTATGAGGACTCAACATATTTTCCTTGGGGGAGGGCGTACTTCCTGTCCAGGTGTGTCGCGAAAGAGGGTCTGCTTTGTTGTGTGTGATTTCACTTTTGAACCTGTTGAAGTAGCACTAAGGAATCATTTCTTTCAAAAAAAAAACTGTGCAAGGATTCACCAGTCAGGAAATTTACTGTCGCTCCTTTCTTGAATTCAATTTACGACCGCGGAATTGACGCTGCGGATGTGTTGCAGTTTTCCGTCATTTTACAGCCTTGCATCATTTCGAGCGCGAGACCGACGGCGGCAAATGACGTTTGAGCCGACGCCCTTGGGGGGGCCGTGCAAATTGTAAACAACGGCACGTAGTGTACTCTATATCAAATTCCTGCTGGTAATTTTCCGTCCCTCGCTGCCATTCTGCATACGATTATTGATTCCATTAAATGAGAGCCTCCAATCGCGCCGTAGTATTTGCATTTATATTCGGCGGCGCTGCTGGGAAAAAGAATGGCGCCGCGACAGGAAGGAAGGAGGGAGAAGAGAGCGGGAGGACTTTTGGTGCATTTCTCCTCCCTTATCGGGCGCAACTCGATGAATTGGGTGCAAATTAAGAGGCATCGGTTCTGCTCGCTTGTGAAACAAGAAGATTTGGAGAGTCGAAGGAGGAGCCAGGCAAACCGCTTCATCTCCTGCCCATGTTGCCACAGGCACCTTGAAAAAGCGACATACAGATTACTTTTTTAGTGAGTCAGTAGCTAGCAGGAAGTGAATTTTTTCACATTCATGTTTAAAAATAAAGTTGTTAATAAAAATAAAATACAGACACCGTTTGGTTTATTTTTTTACTTCACGTGACATCGTTTTTATTTGAAGCGGCGGAGGCAATGTAAACAAAAATGGGGCAGCCGAGCAGAGCTGTGGCTAAGCTAATCGCTAATAGTGAGGAAAATAGGTTCCGAAAATGCTGCGCCGCCGCGCTGTGTCCTACTGTACTTGTTGGAATACAAACGGCGACGGCTCGTTGGTATTTTGAATCATTT